CTTCCGGCGAGAAGTGCCGGGTGTCCACGTTGATGGCGAACTTGTCGCCAGTGCAGGCAACCGCATCGCCGGTCCGGTTCTGGAGTTCGGCAGCGGCACGGCCCAACCGGCTGGGTTCCAGGTAAAATCGCTGGTGGAAGAACGGAGGGTCGAACAGCTCACCGTCGAGGAAGGTGCGTCCGAAGTCGTCGTTGAAGAACCGCCGGGCGAAGTCGGAGGGACCCCAGTTGTCGCCGTACAGCACTGGAAACAGGGCCATCACTGCTGTTCGATTCGGGGAGTCGCGTCCACGAAGATGCGAGGTTTCAGGCTCGTAATCGAGGCTGACGAGAAGTCGAAATATGCCTCGAGCAACGCGCTCTCGCGCTTTTATACAGACGTGCGCTCGCTTCGGTGGTGTTCGCGAACGTTCGTGAACCGGGGAGAGAGCGCGAGACTGACTCAGCCATCGCGAGCGTCGATTGGTTGGAAGGAGTCACGTGGTGGAGACCGTGCAGGTGTTTTTAATGTTTTTCATGTGGGCGGTGGCGAGGCGGTTGGTTTGTTTCTAGAAATTTCGCGCGCTTTCGCGCTCGTCGCCGTGGCGTTCCATTCATTCAGCGTCGCGTTTTCTTATTTTGTTCCCGATTGGTGGATTGTGGGCTTTGGGGAATGACGCAAACAGTTGCGACGACCCGGCCAGTGACTCGTGCGTCCATTTACGGTTGTATACGGCAAGCTCGTCACAAGAGATACATCGAATCTCGGCGCTGTATAAACCGCGTCTCGTTAGATGTGGGGCTGTTGTTATTTCAACGTGATATTTTCGTACACTGACTGCTTAGGAGGTGCTGGCGGGCTAGTTGGCGGCATACGATCTGTAAACAACAGCTAAAATGTAAGAAACAACGAACAAACACACAAAACAAGCGGTGAAATCGAAGTTTGATCAGCTTGTCGTGGTCGTGTGTGCTTCGCTTTTGTGTATTTAAGCTGCCGTTATAAAAAAAAAACAGTGGCTTTTTGTTATAATTGGAGTAGTTCGAAGTAAATTGCACGGTGACATACGTGACAACACATTTGTATGTGTTGATTGCGAAAATGTAAGAAGAAAAAAAAGACCTCTCGAATTTCGCATTCCTGCACGCATGCTGCATCTTTCTCATGGCGCAGCGAATTGTGTTTGTACACATTCAATTAAAGTGCGGTCAGGCTCGTTCGTGAAACAAGCTTGACCCACTGAACTCTAGTGGAGATCAGTGGCTTGACCTTCGTAGGCGCGTCACTAAAAAAATAGGGGGATGCTTCGTTTTGTTCGGGACATGTAATATGCCGATGGAATGAACAGCTTGCATAAACATTAACTTCATTTACCTTAGACGCCCAAGGCGCGCAAAAAGTCTTTTAAGTAAGCGGTCTTTTACGAAGTTGAAAGACTTTTAACAAAGAGGTGTTTGCGGCGCAGACACACGGCAGCAACGATCTCCTTTTAGTGTTTTCGTTCGAAGACGCTAGCGAAAGCGTGGCGCTAGCAGGTAAAAGAGAAGCAATGAAAATTAAACAATGTATCACAATGTACAAATTAAAGACTTGTTGCACTGCTCGTTTCTTCAAATAAATTTAAGAATAAGAGATGAAGAAACACCAATGTAAAAGTTTTTTGCACTAGATAAGGAAGCATTCCCATAACTAGCGACGTGCACAAGTCCGTCTGGCACCACTGGGCTTTTATTTACCCTATTTGTTTTTCGCTGCTCTCGACACGTTATGGGCGACCGTACGGGAGAAAAAGCGAGGATCGCAAGCCTCACGGCCTGCTTTCTCGCTCTGGAAAGCGAGGCAGACGCTGCAAAAGCCGCCAAGGAGAGGATAAAGCAGCAACTGCTATTCAGAAGTTCCTTGCTGTGCGCACTGGAGCTGTTGGAGAAGGCCTGCAATCGATCGATCTGGGCCTTCAGACGAAACGAGAGGTGGTTCGAGGAAACTGTACCTCACCTCGGTGAGCAGAACTTCAAGCAATCTTTTCGAGTGTACCCGTCCGCCTTTCGTTTCATTGTGGAGAGCTTGCGCAGTGAGCTCGAAAGGCAGTGCACCAGCATGCGTGAAGCCATCACTCCTGAGAAGCGAGTCGGCATTGCCCTATACAACCTGTGCTCGTCAGCCGAAGATAGGACTGTGGCCAACCTCTTCGGCGTTGGACGCTCGACAGTAAATACCTTATACAGGCAGTTTTGCGAGGCTGTTGTCGCTGTACTGGAACACGAGTGTATCAAAATGGTGACCGCAGAGGAAACGGCGAGGCACATTCAGGAATTCGAGGCCGTCACCGGTTTCCGCCAAGGCGTCGGAGCCTTGGATGGATGCCACTTTCCAATCTCGCCACCTAAGGGGCATGTCACAGACTACTACAACTACAGAGGCTGGTAAGTGGCCTAATACAACTTCTTAATGTAAAAAAAGCATGATAAATTTTATACCGTATTTTAATGTGCCTAGAAAACAACACTATTCAACCTTTTCGTTACGCTATATAGTTCACTCCTAGCTCTGCCACAAGGGCAAGTCCACATCGCAATAAATAAAAAAAAGCGATGCCAAGTGCTTTAGTCAGTGCACAGTTTGGTTCCTACCATCTCGCATCATTTACAGGCACTAGAGCAAGCCAAGCAATGCAGTTTTCACGTAAGCATTTTAACGCAACAGCATGAAGATGCCAGATTGCATTTGCAATGATAATTCCGACATGCTCATAACGGCCGCAGAAAGCAGCAGCTCATCTGCAGAAAACTTAATGTCTATTACTTACTATATTGAAGATATATGACAAGGCTGCAAGAAAAAAAAAAACATCCCTGGCTCCATTAATGACCACAGGAAGCAGCAGATTCTTAGCTGTACACAAATATACATGCTTTTGTGATAGTACTTTAAGGTAGCTGCACGACTGTAACAACTACAAAAACACACACACACACATTTGGTGTCCATTGCACTTCGCTGCATTCACCTTACGTGCCACGCTCCTTGTTTTTTGCAGGTATAGTATCATCTTGCTGGCACTTGTGGATCACATATACCGCTTCAGGTATATCAACATTGGAGCACCTGGACGCTGCCATGACTCGCACGTGTTTGGGTATTCGCAAATCTCCAATGCTATTAAGGGTCCCCTTTTTAAAGCTCCACTTGCCACCATAGCCGGGACAGTAATACCACCACTGATTCTGTGTGACCAAGCATTTTCATTAGCACCCAGCCTGATGCCTTAGCAGCCGAGTGTCTTAGCGTCCAGACCACCATGGCAGGTATATGCTTAGTAATCATTTCTTTGCCTTTAACCCCTTAAGGGCTTATGACGACCTGCGCTCGTCAAGAGCAGTTGCCACTATTTTGCTTATGACGAGTTGTGGTCGTCATGAGTTTTCCGCAATGCTCCTACAGGCTTTTGACGAGCCCGGGTCGTCAAACGGGGATTTACGGAACCTGTGCTGCCATCTATGTTTAAGCACCGCAAGTTCCGTCATTGGCGGTGGTTATAGTTTGCACACTAGATGGCGGAATGTGTGCGCTTGTTTCCCGCGCGTTTTACAAACATGGCCTCATCCGTGCGGCGTTCTGATGCGGAGAATCTTCCTTCTTCAGACGATGAAAGCGAGAGTGATAAGGATGCCACCGTAGTGTTTTATTCTTCAAGTGAAGAAGACAGTGATGACGTTTTTACGGACAGTGACTCTGAAGGAGAAGACAGTAGCGATGATACAATGGCTAGCTCCCGTGAATGGTTTCGCATAGACCTCGACAACATCCCAGCCAGACCTCCACGGTTTGATTTCAGGGGTTTCACGGGACTGAAGATCACAGTAAGCTCTCCCCCTCATCCACTTGAGCTCTTTGAAGCTTACTTTGATGATGAGCTGCTTGATGTTATCGTCGTGGAGACAAACCGGTACGCTTCTCAGCTTCTGAATTCTAGCAAGCTGGGACAACATTCTCGCTTCCGAAAATGGTATGCACTTACGCGAGAAGAACTTCGCGTTTCTCTGAGCCTCCTGTTGCTGCAAGGCATTGTGCAAAAACCAAATGAAAGGATGTACTGGTCTAGGAATCGGCTGGTTGAGACTCCGGTCTTTGGCGAGATAATGTCCAGAAACCGCTTCGAACTAATAATGAGAATGTTGCACTTTGTCGACAACACGACAATCGAAAATTGTGAAGGACACCCTCAACCTCATCTGAGGAAAATCTGGCCGGTTTATCAGGCACTTCTTGAAAAATACCGGACATTGTATGTGCCGGAGCGGGACGTCAGTGTCGACGAGAGCTTGCTGCTCTTCAAAGGCCGGCTCAGCTGGAAGCAGTATATGCCCCTGAAGAGAGCGAGGTTTGGCATAAAGTCATTTTTGCTATGCGAATCTTCAAGTGGGTATATATGGAACTCTGTAATTTATACAGGGAAAGAAACGAACATTGAGATCTCGTCAGAAGAAGCAGCAACCTTCGGAATGGCGACGAAAGTTGTTTTGAAGCTTCTGGAGCCCCTGCTAGACAAAGGCTACTGCATCACAACTGACAACTTCTACACCTCACCAGAACTGGTTGACTTTCTTTTGAAGAGATCAACTGACATCTATGGCACGACGCGAGCCACTCGCAAAGACCTTCCGCCTGGTTTCGCCAAGGCAAAGCTCAAGAAAGGCGAGATGGTTGCCTTTCAAAGGGGCAAGTGCTTGGCTGTTCAGTGGATGGACAAAAAACTGGTGACGGTTCTATCTACAGTACATAGTGCTGAAATGGCGCGATTCATTGACGAAATGGGCAATGAAACCCTGAAGCCAGAAGTTACACTTGATTATAACCATACAATGGGAGGAGTTGACAGAGCAGATCAGATGCTGGCGAGCTACTCAGTGCCACGGAAACGAAAAAAGATCTCCTACAAGAAGATCTTCCAACACCTCTTGGATGAGGCGACCTACAATTCATTCGTTCTGTACCAGAAAGGAGGAGGCCGAGCATCTCATCTGGAGTATAGGCTAAGGCTTATTGATGAGATCATCACGAAGTACTCTCCCAACACCGGCACCAAGAAGAAAGGACGGCCAGGGCGCCCCCTGAACGCAAAACGGTTTGGTGAGCGCCACTTTCCATCGCACATACCACCAACAGAGAAGAAGCAAGAACCGACACGCCGCTGCGTAGTCTGCTACATGAAGCGAGATGTAAATGGCAAGAACATCTGCAAGGAAACCAGGACCTGGTGCAGGTGGTGCGAGAAGGCTCTCTGCGCAGTGCCGTGCTTTGAACGCTACCACACGGATGGTAACCTCAACTAGCTTCAAGTGAACTATCAAGAAATTGTTTGTTTTCTGCAAGGAAATTCAAACCCGACCCGTGCTTTCTGGAGTTGCAGAAATTAATTTGTGAATACACCAGAAATGCCCCAAATATAGGGTATTATATGGGGTAAAGAATGACCAATTAAACATGATTATCGACTATAAACAATTTTCGCAAATATTTTTGTGTTTTGAACACGTTTCTGAAGCATATCACATCATTAAAAAATTTGGCCATATTGGTGCATAATATATTTGTTTAATGAGCCCTTAAGGGGTTAATGTGCGAAAAATGGTGAGAGCAAAAAGAAAAGAAAATTTCAATGTGTTCATCATAAGCAGTAAGCAATGCATGTTAAAATCATTCGTGGAAGAATTAAATAAGTATATTAGGTTCATTTCCTCTCGTAATGTTGCACTGCCATGACGAGAAATGGAGCCTGATAAAAATAGACAAATGGAACGAGGAATGATGGATGTAAAAAATGGGAGCAGTGATGATTATGGAGCAAACTGCTGTAGGTAATGGAAAAGTGATAATAATCAGGATATATTGGTGTAGGATTGATTACTCTTGTTTTCTTTGCATTAAGAGTTGGTACCAAGATGCAGCAAGAGCATTTGAGTGGCTGAGAACTGGATGACGGCATCAAATTGGGAAACTCCTAGACCTGTGTTGAACAGCTGGCAAAAAAAAAAAAAGATGTAGGGGTTTAACAGAAACAGATCGCTGGCAGCGAGATGTATTGATCCAGTATAGAACATACAATATGCCAATGAAGACAAATGATAAGACTTTCCAAGAACAATATGTGAATGGAACTGTCTTACTGATACATGTGATGAATAATCACCCTACCAGACAACCCTCTTCGCCCTTTATTGTTTAGTTTTGCAATTATTTATATTTGCATTATCACCCTGCTTGGACCTTGAGTCTGTAGTATTGAATAAATAAAAAATATGGTTACATACTCTAACATGGCCCATTGTGTTTAAGCAGTTGCTTACTGATCACCTCACGCTGTAATATTCATTACCACCTTACACTGTTCTTCATGTCTTGTTAAATTGTAATGTTATTTTGCAGCTAAACAGGTAATCTGTTTCACTGAGCTGTGTGTTTCAAATTTAAGACCTGACGAGTCTCATGTCTAACTTTCTATATTCCCTACCCCCTTATGTAATACCCCAACAGGGGCCTTTAAGGGAAAATAAGAGATGATGACATAGCATGTGAGAAGTGCTACAGAAACACTTTGCTACATGTTGGTGGTGGCGTGCCTTGAAACTCCTATGCGGGCTCCACACCCTGTCAACGTTATGACAGTGTCGGGTGCATCCTTCAGCTGGAAGGCTTATGCATGTGCTTGAGATATCAAGGCATCAATTTAGCCTCTTCGAGATGCTTCGTACCTAGTAAGTTACATTTTAAACAGTAGAGATCAACTCTGAAATCCCTTTTCTCCTTTTGCAAAGTAGAGTAATAGTCCATTTATTTATACGGCACTGGAAAAAATGCCTAGAAATAGATTAGAATTCTGAAACACATGATAGACAGCAAAAGCACGAGTGCTACAGATTAAGTGGAAGGTTTTCGCTGTTTGGTCTTATGAAAGGCAGACTATGTTATGAGACAATACTCTACCTTAACTGATTTGGAGTTTCTTCTCACATGTACACTACAGTACTGAGTACCACCTCAGATTTAATTTATTTTTATGAGCTGTCCAGCAGGCAATAAAGGTAGCAAGAGAAGTACATTTGACAATAGAAGTTTACAGCAGACCATCTCAACCTACCTTTTATTAGGCTTGTGTACATTTGCTACATTAAATGCCAAAAATTAACAGGAATGTATTTTTTGCTTAACACACCGTGAGACTTCAAGGCACAGTTTTATGACGTGTTGGTATGTAGTGTCCCATTCAACAAAATTCGCTGTCCTACAGCGTTTTTTTTTTTTCTTTTTGTTTCACAGCATGTTAGTCTCTGATGCAGTGTTTGCTACATTACAGACAGCTTTGCATCTGAAAGTTGTAGTATTTGCTTGAGCACAATTAGGCCAACGAGTGCAAGGTAGGCAAATATTTGATTATCGTTGACCATACTGTACACAAGGCTATCAGAGGAGGCCATAACATTGTAGATAGCTTAAAATTTCAAAACTGTGCTCAAAATGCAGACATGACACCTTTGCTTTATGCACCATGAATCTAATTAGGCGGGTTGCATGAGAAACGCAATAATGCTTAGTTGAAGGTCTGCCCTGAGGGTGTGCTTATGCAACAAGTAGTTCAGCATCCTTCTATTCATAGCTGCTCTTTCATAAACTTTGCCTATGCGAGAGAATACATAACTACCACAGCGAAGAGTTAGCAGTGAAGCACTCACCAGTGAAATTACTCGGTTGGGCGGTTCACACTGACGCACAGAACACACTTGAACAGCACAAAGGAACTTAATTTATTAACAGCACAACAAACATGAAACTTTGAGCACTACAAATGTTCATAGTACAAAAAAAAACAGTTCCGGGGGAAGTCTGCTTCGAGGCCAGCTCTTAACTTATGCTTCCCGCTCTGGTTACACGATGTGGCCGCTAGCTCTGCGGCGTTCAGGTCCCTGGACTCTTTCACCGAGGTCAGTCGCACCGACACTGGAGGAACTTTAGCAGGGAGAAGTGAGAAATTCGTGGTTCGTGCTCACTTCTTGTCGCCGCTGGCGCTGGACTCGTGACGAACCTCGATGGGGATCGGCTTGCTCTTGTCCACCTTGGGAGCCGGGTTCTTGCGAGGAGCTTCCAGGGCGAGGTAGCCCGTCGGGGTCAGCTGGCACTTCACCGACTGCGGGTCGACGTCTTCGGGCAGCACGTAGCGGCGGGTGAACTCGCGCTTCACGTAGCAGCGGCGGTCGTCGGACTTCTCCTCGTGCTTGCCGTGAATGATGACGCTGTTGTCCTTGGTCTTGACAGTGATCTCCTCCGGCGAGAAGTGCCGGGTGTCCACGTTGATGGCGAACTTGTCGCCAGTGCAGGCAACCGCATCGCCGGTCTGGTTCCGGAGTTCGGCAGCGGCACGGCCCAACCGGCTGGGTTCCAGGTAAAATCGCTGGTGGAAGAACGGAGGGTCGAACAGCTCACCGTCGAGGAAGGTGCGTCCGAAGTCGTCGTTGAAGAACCGCCGGGCGAAGTCGGAGGGACCCCAGTTGTCGCCGTACAGCACTGGAAACAGGGCCATCACTGCTGTTCGATTTGGGGAGTCGCGTCCACGAGGATGCGAGGCTTCAGGCTCGTAATCGAGGCTGACGAGAAGTCGAAATATGCCTCAAGCAACGCGCTCTCGCGCTTTTATACAGACGCGCGCTCGCTTCGGTGGTGTTCGCGAACGTTCGAGAACCGGGGAGAGAGCGCGAGACTGACTCAGCCATCGCGAGCGTCGATTGGTTGGGAGGAGTCACGTGGTGGAGACCGTGCAGGTGTTTCGATTTGTTTTTCAAGGGGGCGGTGGCGAGGCGGTTGGTTTGTTTCTAGAAATTTCGCGCGCTTTCGCGTGCGTCGGCGTGGCGTTCCGTTCATTGAGCGTCGCGTTTTCTTATTTTGTTCCCGCGTTACGCATTTGCGATCGGTGGGTTGTGGGCTTTGGGTAATGACGCAAGCAGTTGCGACGACCCGGCCAAGTGACTCGTGCGTCCATTTACGGTTGTATTCGGCAAGCTCGTCACAAGAGGTACCATCGAATCTCGGCGCTGTGCAAACCGCGTCTCGTTAGATGTGTGGCTGTTGTTATTTCAACGTGATATTTTCGTACACTGACTGCTTATGGGGTGCTGGCAGACTAGTTTGTGGCATACGATCTGTAAACAACAGCTCAAATGTAAAAAACAACAAACAAACACACAAAACAAGCGGTGAAATCGAAGTTTGATCAGCTTGTTGTCGTGTGTGCTTCGCCCTTGTGTATTTGAGCTGCCGTTATACAAAAAAAAAAAAAAAAACACTGGCTTACTGTTATAATTGGAGTAGTTTGAAGTAAATTGCACAGCGACATACGTGACAACACATGTGTATGTGTTGTCACGTATGAGACAACGCATACAAAAAAAGATCTCTCGAATTTGCATTCCTGCACGCATACTGCATCTTTCTCATGCGTGCAGCGAACTGTGTTCGTACACAGTCAATTAAAGTGCAATCAGGCTCGTTCGTGAAACAAGCTTGACCTTCGTAGGGGCGTCACTAAGAAAATAGGGGGATGCTTCGTTTTGTTGTTCTGGACATGTAATATGCTGATGGAATGGCGTAGAAAAAAAATGGCGCGTCAATGGCGTAGTAAAAAAAAAAGAAGGGGGGGGGGGAATCAACCCATTTTTCACTCTGAGATACCTTTATTACTCACGCATACAAAGAAACACAAACGTATTGCGTAAAAGTAAGGTCGTACCCCCCCCCCCCTCCCCACCCCGTACTGAAATAAACCGCTAGCTACACCCCTGCCTTAGGCATACGCGAATCGCAGTAGATCAGCATGTATATATTTTGTTGTTTTTTGGGGGGCAGGATCATTTGCGCCTGTCAGCTTAATCGTGTGGTGTATATCACTGCCCGTCCCTCTATATACACTTGTCATTGTTTGCAAATTGCATCGGCACGCCTGTAGCCGTTGTCTGCCCTGGCACTCAGTTGCCGTATCGCCGTGTCTGTCGTGCGAGGCCGATATATGTTCCGGTCGCTGAACTCACCTGTGCACGTACCCATATGATGCGCCGTCGTGAGGCGGACAGCGGTGCACTGCACAAGAAAGGGGTGAAGGTTAGAATGAAAATGAAATGATAAAAAAGCGGCCGTGAATGGCGCCAGACAAAGATAAAACAAGAAGTAAACCCCCCCCCCCCCCCTTCCCCTATACGGCGCCTGCCTGTCGTGCGTAGATCGTCTGCAACGCGTCTTTTACGACTTGCTCGGCCAGTAGGGACAGTTTTTTTGTTAGTTTTTTATTTCTGCATTGTTATAGTCGTGCACGACAGCGCATGCACGGTGCGAATGGCCGAGGATTATGTGTAGCAGGCCGCCTCACGATAGCATTATCGATTAGCACGTTCAGCATTATTTGTAAAAAACTCTGCGATGTTCTCAGGCCTGGAATATTTCGGACAGGAGGGTCAATCGCGGTGGAGTGTCTCCCTTTTAATTAAGTCGTCTACTAGCTGCGCAAGTACATGCCTTCTACACTCTTGAGTGTCGTAACCTGTTTAATATAATTCGCGGCACGTTGATTTTTTTTCCAACTTGAGTTCATTTCTAATTATGTAATTACTATAACAATTACTAATAACACACTAACTATATATACTGGCAGTCCAGTACCAGTTCCGAAATTGGAGCTGGTACTGGAGTGTGTTTCCCGAAGATTGTAACACTTCGAGAAAGCTGCCAGCGTTTGTATTGAATACGTTAAGGAGCAACCTCGGAAATTAATCCGCATAGCTTCTAAACAAATTTATAGCTTGATGTAATCACCACTAAGATGGCTAACATATTGTGAAACTAATGTTAGGGACGCGATACGTTAGTCATTGTTGCTGACTGCAGTGTAATCATTGTGACCTAACTTGAAAAAAAAACAAAAAACTTAATGTACACGAAAAGGCATCCTTTCAGTTCGTGGAACCCGACGCCTCAACCTCCAGAATTAACGTGGTGCATGCAACACCAGAGTCAATTGTAGCAAATGCAACAGAAAGGCGGCAAGAGTGCGAAGGGTAAACATCAAATTTATTAACAGTGCAAAAGAGAGATACACAGATACATACGAAGGTTCACAAATGTCGTCTAAGGACTTCGCTCGGCTAAAGGTCTCACACACACGCTTAGTGAAACGGTAAGAAAAAATAGTAAATAAATTATAATGAGAGAAACGAACGCTGTGCCAGAGACTGACAAAACTTAGGGTACAACAGTTGAGCGCACAAGGTTTGGCAGGAGAAGACTAGGAACATACATTCGAACAATTCTTGCTTCTTCGAGTGTAGAAAAACGCAAAACCACTTTTCACACACACACACACACACACACAAAAAAAAAAATCCCGCTCGTACGAGATTCAAGGTAAACGCGTAACTCGTAACTCCACCAAACACCGTAAAGAAGAGTGAAAGAAGTATGAGTTCAAACGGAACATACACTACGGAAAAAAAGTTCCAAAGTTCACCGTGGAATGTCGAAGGGGCGCAACAGTGCACGAAACAAATGGCAGTGTTACGGCAGGAACGTGAACAGCTTTCGGGAACGCTTACTTTTTCTTTTCTTTTTTTCTTCAAAGAGATTGCTCGAGTCTTCTCCATTTTGGGCGATGAGCATCTCAGAGGCCGTAGAATGCAGAGGAACGGGATAGCTTTACGGCCAAATTTAGCAGCAGTCTGGCAACAACCACCCTTCCAGTCTGGCAACCACTTATGCAACGCCAAAAGGAACCTTGCCAGCTTTACTACTTGCTCGCGTCTTCGCCCGCGTCTCCGTTGGTAGCCACAACAGCCGGCGCGGGTGAATCGGCGCCTTCGTGTACAACTTTAATCGGAATCGGCTTGCCGTCGTCCCGCTTGAACTTCTTGCGCGGCGCTTCGAGCGACAAGACACCTCCGTGGGTCATGTGGCACTTGACGGACTCGGGCTCCACGTCTTCGGGCAGCACGTAGCGGCGGGTGAACTCGCGCTTCACGTAGCAGCCGCGGTCGTCGGACTTCTCCTCGTGCTTGCCGTGCACGACGACGCAGTGGTCTCGCGTCTTCACGGTGATCTCGTCGGGCGCGAAGTGCCGAGCGTCGACGCGCACGGCAAACTTGTCCGGCGAGCAGGCCACCGCCGCGTGAGCACGCGTGGAGCAGACGCCGTTGCTCGGCGTCGGAGACGTTGTCGATGGCTGGTTGTGGCCGTTGTTGTGCCGGCGGGATTGGACGTAGTAACGCTGGTGGTAGAACGGCGGATCGTACAGCTCACCGTCTAGCAGCAGCGGGGAGCCGCCGGCGAGGTCGTCTTCGTCGAAAAAGCGTCGCGCCAAGTCGGACGGGCCCCAGGAGCCGCGGTTGATGAGCGGGAACAGAGACATGATGGATATCGCGTTGGAACGAACGTAGTACTTACAGAAAAAAATGTGCGGCGGATTGCGGAGCACAACAGCGGCCGAACACAGCAGGGCACGCAAATACGCGACAACGAGACGCCGGATAGGCCGGATGCCGGCTTTCTGTTTTCTTTCGCTGCGCAAAGTACTCCGTCGTCGGCTCCAAGAAAAAAAAAATGACACAAAAAGCAGTTGTTCGAGAAAACACGAGAAAGAAATAGCTGTGGCGGGAGATCGGAGAGGCGTGATTGGCCGGACGTTGTCACGTGGTACGTCTGGCCCTCTCGTGCGTTCTCGTGGCTTCGAGAGCGCTGCCGCCGGCCGGTGAGCGACTCTCGATTGTTCTCGATTGTTCGTTGGTTGGTTGTGTAGAGTTTCTTTACCTACGGGATTTAGTTGCTCGTTTATTGTTGTCACTTGCTGAAGAAAAATGCAGCATCAACGTGTGTTTGCGTGGCTCCAGCGAGCGTTGTGCGCTCGTTGCGAGCGGAGGCTTCTGTGATTGAATAGTTACGTCAAATGGCGCCACTTTTGAACTCTAATGGAGCACGTGTTGAATTGCGACCTACGCCGTAAAATTTTTTAGATTAATGCTGTTGTTAATACGCGCTAGATTAGACACTAAGGTGCAAAGCCCGATATTTTTTAGATGTTATTGAGCGCCGTTAAAACTCGTCCACTTAAGCGTTAATGGACGTTCATTCGTGATAAATATAATTATCACGTTGGGGTCGGGCTCTTCAGCGAGACTTCCACACCCTGAGAAACAATAGACAAAGATATACGACTGTGCAACTGACTACCGTTAATAAATGATGGAACAAGGAACGTTGCTTCTTCGAGAATTGTCCGTCCGTCATGCGACAGCTGCTCGATAAAATAAGTGAAAGAAAGTAAAAAAAAATTCACAGCGTGCATTTTCGTCCAGCACCTGCAATAACAACGGGGCTATGCTCTGACGTAGGTACATGGGCTGTTTGCAACTTGAAAGTCAGTAAAATTTTTAAAAAGTACGAACACGAGAATCACTGACGGGAATAAAGACGCACGCGCGTTCCTGCTTTCGTCCTGCCTTCTTCGCTGAGTTTCTTTGTAAGTTTTCTTAATGTATCGACCGACTAGCCCAACACGCTTTGCTTTGGTTCAGAATCTTTGAGTATTCTCTACGAGATCCTCGCAAACACCTATTTCTGGGGCAACACGCCAGAAATTTGATCTCCGATTGCCGGCGAGAGATGGCGACACAGGAGTCTCTCGTCACCCAAGTACGAACGAACGAAGGCGCTGGAACAATCGCGAAGTTTTTTCACCCGATGCGCCGGCGTAAACAAAACAAAAAAAAACGCTCGTTATACCACGTGACTTTGCCCAGCCAATCGCGCTTTGGATCGGCCTCCGCCCATTACTCTCGCGATTTCTCGGTAGCGTTTTCTAGAAGCAGACGATTCGAATTATAAAAGGGCGTCTGCTTGCTTCGCCGGTTTAGATACCTTCGCCACCACAGCTCTTGCGAGTGTGTTTGCGTGCTCCTTCGTAAAAGTTCAGTCACAATTCAGTGAAAACAGACATGGCTCTGTTTCCGCTGCATCACAACAACTACTTCGGTCCCTCGGACCTGGTGAGACGCTTCTTGGATGACGACTTCGGCGGCTCCTTCCTCGAAGGTGAACTGTTTGATCCGCCGTTCTACCACCAGCGCTTCTACATCCAACCTCGTCACCAGCAGTCCTCGTCGGCAGTGTGTCCAGCTCGCCAGCAAGGCACCTCGGTCGCCTGCACTCCGGACAAGTTCGCCATCAACGTCGACACCCGGCACTTCACTCCGGAAGAGATCACCGTCAAGACGCAGGACAACAGCGTCGTCATTCACGGCAAGCACGAGGAGAAGTCCGACGACCGCGGCTGCTACGTGAAGCGCGAGTTCACGCGTCGCTACGTCTTGCCGGAGGACGTCGACCCGCAGTCGGTGAAGTGTCACCTCAAGCCCAACGGAACGTTGGCCCTCGAAGCTCCGCGTAAGAACGCCCCCAAGGAGCAGCCCAAGGCTGTCCCGATCGAAGTGAAACACGAGGGTGCCAAGGCTGTGAAGGACAAGTAAGCCGAAGTGGCTGTCACGGGACAGCGTCAGAGACCCACCTTGACGTTGTGGATCAATTACTAGTTTCTTTTTTTTTTTTGTCAGTGACTGTTAACTGAACCGTTGTGGTCACTGCCACTAAGTGTTCGTGAAGCTATGTGCTGAGTGCTACGTTTTGTACTCTTTTTGTTTTTTTTTTAATGCCGTGAACCGGCAGGCGTACTTTGAATAAACTAAATCACTTTATGTAGCCACCGTCGTATACTTTATTACTGTGTGGTGCACGCCTGCACCACACATCAATCGCTCTCTCTCTTTCTCTCTCTCTCAATCAATCGCTCTCTTTCTTTCTGGGAGGGGGGGGAGGGTCTACTCAGATAATATATGGAAGATTCACGTTGGGTATCGTGCAAGTCTCCCTTTTCCCGGTGCATCGCGGATCGGCTGGCAGCCGTTTTAACTGCACAGCAAAGTTGCAGCCTTGAAACCACCTGCGTTATCGTTAGCGGTGACGTCGGTGCCGGAATAATCTGCAATTTTCATGAAGTGGGCGTAATCTTAACAAAGTGGTCTATACTGCAGCCCTGAAGCTTCTCGAACACTACAGGCACGGTTCGCGCCGACAATCACTGACAGTTAATTGGGGCGATAACAAAAGTTGAGATGGGAATGTGGCAATATATGCGACCTAATTAGCAAGTCGATGCTACCCTATAACCAGTATATCGATGACGTCATAACGTAACTAATGTAGGGCAGGTAACATATGTTGCTACCTAATTAGCACGCCTGTGATAACCTAATAAATATATTTAAGACCTTATGATGAAATTGTAAGCGTAGGTTAGGTGGTAGGTTAGGTTAAGCTAGGGTAGGATAGAACAGAATATCGATTGGACGGAATAGATGTTAGGTTGGGTTATGCATCGGGATATATGACAGGATAAGTTAGCTTAGGCTATCCTGTTTGAGACTTCACATGCTACATTTTAAACATTATTTCTTCATAGGGCTACTCAGATTTTTGCGGTTTTTGACCAATGCCTTGGCGTGGATGTTACTTACTGTACTAGTCCTCCCAGAGTGTACGGGTGGGTGCATGCCTGCAAACCAATAAGCTAATTATCTACAACACCAGAAAATTTCGTCGTATGTAAGAGACGCATGATTAGTCATAAACAGTCATTAAATTACATTAGAATGGAAAAAAGCGCAATTATGTTAAGTTAGTCGCTGTGTCTGACCTACAGGACTAACATTAAATTACTGTTAGTGTCCGTAACAACACACACACACACACACACACACACACACACACACACATATATATATATATATATATATATATATATATATATATATATATATATATATATATATATATATATATATATATATATATATATATATATATATATATCTGAATCTCGGAGATCGTTCCCAGCATGCTTCAGGTTTGAACTGCACTTCGTTATTCTTTTCTCTCTCACTTTCAATTTCGCCAAGAGTTATACGAAAAGTAAGCAGTATTTTTCTTGAAGCTTCTAGTATACATTAAATTGCTGAGCTTTAAGTCCGCAAAGGTCATTACGTTAATAATTACAGCAGAAAAAAAAGTAACTTTGTTGCTGGAAGGGCATTACTGTCATTTCTACTGCGAAGTCTGTAATGTATCCACTACTCGGATGGCATTGGGTATGAACCATTGACAGATTACAACAACCCTATTGGCGCGGGTCTCTTCGTGATGCAATTTCGTGTGACAATGTCCCTCCGTCCATAAACCGCCGCCTGGCGCCTGCAGCAGATGTAGAAACCGAGACATTTGCGAACAACAAAGCGGCTATCAAAAGTCTGCTTACGAGAAAACATCCACACTTAAGCGCCCATCAATCGAAGCATATGACAGAACAAAATAAAATGCTGTTAACCAGAACGAAATGGCAATGATTCATGATCCAATACACACTGCTTCGGCCCATCATCACCACTCACGTCGTGAATATGGATAGATTAAAAAAAACCCTTTAGCTATTGCTTTTTTAAAATCATTTTACCTCTTCGCCTTCTTATACACATGTATCGGGCTCGTCCTTTTTTTCATTGCTGCACAGCGTTTACGTTTCCATTTCTTATCCACAGTGCGGCCAATCCCCCCCTTGTGGGTGTGAGCCAGTACCCGTAGGCGATAAAACGACACAAAACGTGTGTTGTTGGAACCTCTGGTGGGTATCCAGCAGCATCAACATCGAGACCCAGGGTCCAGGCGCGAGCGCCCAGAAGAAGAACCGGTTAGCATCGTTCACCGAGGCAGCGCCTCGCCAAGAGCCGACGAGATGGCCGGTCAGTTGATCATTTTACGCTTTGCACACGATCGCGGCGAGATTAGTGGTCGCGGATCGCCACGCTGTCGCAATTTATTTGCGAAGAACTTCTTTCTGGGCGATTTGGTGCATGTGTATGGTATGTAACATTGCGCATACAATCGGACGAACACGGGGAGTAAAGAATTGCAAGCGGAAGGAGCGCGAACTATCGACGGGCTTTATTCCATTGGTCGCTGTAAATATATGCACATTTATCTCTTTAGTAAATTAGCTAGCCGAGTTGGAAAACACTCGCGAAGGAAGAGGAGGAATAAACATTTATTGAAACGGTACGCTAAGGTTTCCCTGGGTGGAGCCCTTATTCCAGGGCCCCACTGGCCCGAGCGGCTCGCTCGGCCTGGTTCCAAGGTAGCCCTCTGGCTTCCCAGGTCCTGCCGGGTGAGTCGCACCTCCCACGACCTTTTATATTCGTTTCGTGTGATGAGGGGTGAGTTACCCTCTGCTGGTCTTCTTTGGCAAAGTCCAAGTGATGTACTGGAGTGTCGGTGTGTCACCGCACCAAGGTCAGCGGTCAGCAAATGGTCAGCGTGAATGAAAGGTTGCTAGGACTAGAAGGAATTGCACGACACAATCGTTGTCTAACGACTGAAAATTCAATGCAAAGTGCGGGAAATATTTTAGCAAAAAGGAGGCAGTGAACAACAACTCCAGCAGCTTGGGGTCACGTGAACATGGCAGGAACGTCACGAGTGACGTCATGCGACCACCGTACAACTTCGTTGAGAGTCCTGGGCGCTGCATGAGTACAGCTGTTTAGCCAGTTTCAGTGGCTGGCACACGTCACTGGACTGGGGTCCCTGCAACCAATGAGCCTAAACTTCGGGGTACTATTTTGTCAGCGTCACTAACTGCCACAGGTGTTCTCACTAATCACGTGACGGACCACGTGACATTGAGTTGTTGAGGTGCCATGTAATATCCCTTATACACACACACACATATGCGTCCACGTGCGGTATTTTGTCACTGATGTAACTGTGCACAGTATCCCTTATCGCTTTGTCATCGCAGTATGGAGAGCGATACTCGTTGGCGTAGCCAGGGGAGTGGGAGGAGGGGTCCAGACTCCCCGAAGTTTTTCAATTTGCATACATAAAGTATGGTTGAATCTTCCATTTTAAAATATTTCTCGCTATGCTTCTGCTGATATTGAAGGTAAAATGCAAGAGGGTTGGATGATGATCGCACAGCATTGTGGCAACAATCGTTTTTTAGTTATTATTCTGTGACTACACTAAACATCCAATATATTATAGGGAGGATATTAAGGAAAGAAATTAGCCCAAATCGATGTACAATAGAACGCAAGCAGAGTTTGGCACGTTAAATCTGGATATGTTACCGACCCTATATCATCGGTTGACATAACTGTGGTATAATCGAAAACGCCATGCTTTTGTTGATTTTCCGTGACAGTAAGTCTGATGCGATACACCTTACTCTGTTTCTTCGTGGGTCTCGTACGGTTCCAGAATGGTCGGAATCGTCGATGTCGGAGACGGCGCCGTTGGCGGCAACGGGTAAGTATGCTGTATCCGCAACTCTGCAATATATCGGGTCTGTTTTTCTTCGCCCGTGCGTATAATAACTGCGGTAACTGCGACGTCTTGCTGATTTCCGAATAGACACCGGAACTGCTGGAAGCACGGGTGAGTAAGCATTTGACATTCGTTCGTCGTTGCAATCGTACTGTTTAGAGCTTGGATGTTTGAGCGAATAAATGTATCAATGAATGAATGATTGATTGATTGGATGATTGATTGATTGATGCAACGGCTGATTTATTGATTGATTGGTTCAATGAGTGATTGCTTGATTGAATGTATGAATGAACTATAGTCACACATAATTCTTTTAGTAATTATGGCTTCTCGACGCTGCGAACAGAGTCAACCCGAATACTTAGGATATGTCTCACTCATCTCTTCTTTTAAGCGCCGAATACGCGAACAGTAGAAGCTTACGTCACGATATCAATTAGTGAATAAGCACACACCTTACCGCCTGCACATACTTGCCCTGTTAATCTACCCTATTTATCGGTTTTAATTAAAGGGACACTAAAGTCAAATAACAATTTATGCCAGAGTGAAAGCTCAATGTATGGCAACGTCTAAAACGACAACATGATCAACAGCAGTGCCCTATATACTTACCGAAAAATTAGTGTTAATGCACGAGAAAACATACGCCACGAGTAGGGCATTCACGAAATGATCCCGATGACGTGAGATTTACCACCTACAATTAATCACGAGTAATTGAATTAGCAGCACTAAGTAAAGAAGATTCCGTGCTTCAAGAAACGTAATAAAATGTTGCTTGTTCGTTTCTGTTTGATTAATGGAAAAAAAGAACCGCCGGACGTTACTATGGGGAATGGCACGAGTGGTTCAAAAGTTTAATTTTCGTCTGGTTAAAACTGGACAGATGGTGTCATCTGGCGGGGCTCAGTTGAACCAAGCGCATCTGCCATCTTGGAGCCAATGGCAGGAAATGGTTCAATGACCGTTGTTGCTGCTGTAGCTGCCGCTCTTTTCGCTCTGTGGTCGGCGGCCGTGCAGTAAAGCCGGGCAACGTTGTGCATGGCAACAGTGATGTAAGACGGCCACTTTCAGGCGGGAGATTTGAAGCGCGCTAACACGATGCGGACAATTAAAACATTTTATTTCAAAATAAGCACTTGGCACAAAAGTAGCACTAAGAAGTCTCTGGCCCACTATTTCAACAATCAACGTCGACTTTATAGTTGCCTTTAGTGTCCCTTCAAAGGACCGAAACCATGGTGTCCGTGTTAAAGAACTCCAGGTAATCGAAATTTTCGGAGCCCTCAACTACGGCGTCTCTCAAAATCACAGGGTTGTT